CAATGTTGCGCATATATGGGAGTTTGAGGAGATATGAGAAGACGCGATTGTTATAATTTACAGTGGGCACAGCTGTTAAATTCTATGCTTTTAGTGTGGGAGAAAAAGAAATCTATTGAAGTCGGTTTTTTTGTTTGTTTCCCGATTTAAATGGCACGCACCCACATTAGGTGATTGGCTAAGAATGTTGTCGAATGCTGTTTTAGGTAAGCTATGAAATGGAAAACCATAAATAAAGAAATAAGTGGCAATGACGCGTAAAATATTCAATTTAACTACAAGAATTATACTTTTGAGCTTGTATACCAGACTGCCGTAATAACCTGATGTGAACAATTTCGAAAACTGTGTTACCCCAATGAAAGGTCGAATAATTTGACATACCAGATTAAAATGGTACTCGTTGAGTAGTTTTAATGAAATTACACACGGCATCAAAGGTATCCCTGTGGCAATATCGCAAGCATGAGGCACCAAAGCTTAAAAAAATTTGGGTCCGATAACGTCAAGCCTAATTTTATAAAAAGAATAATTAGAAGTCTAGTTCTAACGCGAAAGTCTCTTGAACATGTCAAAAAGTAATGTGCAGTGTTTTAAAGCGAAGCAGTTCTCAGCGAACTTCAGTGACTTTGAACGTATCTATCTATCTATCTATCTATCTATCTATCTATCTATCTATCTATCTATCTATCTATCTATCTATCTATCTATCTATCTATCTATCTATCTATCTATCTATCTGTCTGTCTGTCTGTCTGTCTGTCTGTCTGTCTGTCTGTCTGTCTGTCTGTCTGTCTGTCTGTCTGTCTGTCTGTCTGTCTGTCTGTCTGTCTGTCTGTCTATCTATCTATCTATCTATCTATCTATCTATCTATCTATCTATCTATCTATCTATCTATCTATCTATCTATCTATCTATCTATCTATCTATCTATCTATCTATCTATCTATCTATCTATCTATCTATCTATCTATCTATCTATCTATCTATCTATCTATCTATCTATCTATCTATCTATCTATCTATCTCTATCTATCTATCTATCTATCTATCTAGCCGCCTACGACTTTTAGCTCTCCTAGCCGTTTCGATAATGATATCAATACACAACTTAGTATGGCATAACATGACTGTATGAAGAATATATATGACTAGTCATTACATCGAAATCATGAAATCTATGTTATGAATGTCATGATTTACATTTCATGGTCCTGCAGCTCTTGCGGTGGTTTCGTTGACATGACATCTTGCAAAACTTGTATGGTATGGCATGGTTGCATGGCAAACACAAGCGACAGACCTTAACATGAAAATCATGACATGTGTGCTATGTTAGAACATGATTACATGCCACGCTCATTAGGCGCTCGCGGCCGTTTCGCTAGCTTCACTTTTACCAAATTTGGTATAACGCGACGTGAATGGTTGAAAAAGGTATGATACTGGTGCAAACATGATAAATATGAGGTGCGTGTAATGTAACAACATGACTACATGCCTAGCTCATCATGCGCTGGCGGCCGTTTGGCTAGCTTCACTTTTACCAAATTTGGCATTACGGGACGTGAAGGGAAGACGAAGGTATGATACTGGTGCAAGCATGATAAATATGAGATGCGTGTCATGTAACAAGAACATGTAACACTACCTGCTATGCTCATGATGCGCTCACAGCCGTTTCGCTAGCTTCACATGTACCAAACTCGGTATTACGCAACGCGAACGGACGACCTAGGTAAATGACTCATCCAAACGTGATAATCATGGCATGCGTGTCATGTAAGCACATGACTACATGCCACACTGATGATGCGCTCGCGGCCGTTCTACTAGCTTCACATATAACAAATCGGGTGTTATGCGACTTCAATAGATGACAAAATTTATAAATTTATGACTTGTACAAACATGATAATCCTGACACGCGCGTCATGTAAAAACAACAACATACCACGCTCATGGCGTGCTAGCGGCAGTTTTGCCAGCTCCGTGTATCTTAAATTTGATATCACGTGACGTGAATAGATGACGAAGGTAAACGACACATTCAATGATGATAATTATGACAAGTAAGACATGTACGGCATCATTTATCTCTACATCGTAATGTTGTGCTGATTTTAAAGTGACGTATCAACAGTTCTCATTCGCGCTTCGCATATCATCGACTCCCTTTGTACGTGGTATCTGCCAATTTTTTCGAGTTCTCCACAGAATTGATAGAGGGGTGATATTGTCAGATCAGCCGTGTGCCAGTAAAAATTTAATGGTGGGATACTACATCGAATTTTGGCGATCGTCACTTCTGATTGTCAGTTAGCACTCGTTTTATCGTCTTCTTCCTCGCCTGCGTCATTCCCAGAATAAGCACGCCGATTAGTTCAGCATAAAAAAATGAACTCTATTTTTATAAAAGTGTCTGCGTGGTTCGGTGCCATTTTGATTTAAACAATAATGAATCTAAAATGAATGTTTTCATTACATAAAACGACAGCATAATTTCTTTTTTCTAGCTTCAATTTTTTTTCTAGGCTACCCGAGGCTTCCGAACTCAATCCAGGCCCCACAGGGCAGGCGTAAACCGAAATTTTAGGATGTATGCATTTAAATTTCAATCTTCAATAATTCAACGTACTTCTACATCTTATTTCAGGCCGCTACCGCTGGAAGACATTCCAGTCAAATTTGTACCATAGGTTCCCAATGTTGCTAGCGAGCAAAAAACTCATTCCACGCCTATGAATATGCGTAATTTGATCCTAAAAATGTCTTTGACATAAGTTATCATTTCCTTATGCATACGAAAGTTTTCTTAGTGTTTTTAACTGAAACAAGTTTTTGGACATCAAAGGGTTAATAAGTTGTCTGAAGTAGGAACACAACCCCACAAACTGCGGATCATCATCATCAGTAGCAGCTGCGGCGGCCGCAATCTCGTGCGAGAGCCATAACGTGTTCCCTCGAGCACGCAGTGTGCGAGCCGAGCCCTCGTGAGCTGGTGATTCGAACGGTAAGCTGCCCCTGTTCCAGCCGAGGCCTAGTGAGCGGGCTACCCTCAACGCTCCGCCGGTCACCTCGAAGACATCGACCTCGGAATATGTGATTCAACGTAGACTCGGCGAGTTGGCGTGTTTCATGGCTTCCCGACAGCGCAGGCCACATCACGGATTGCGTTCGCGATTTGAGGACTTCGACCCTGCCACACAGCCCGAGTTTGGTCACGCAATGAGTGGAGGCGGAGGTGATTTTCGCGAGTGGCAAGACCTCCGAGACAAGCTGAATTGCCATGAGACCACACCGTCTGGACCTATCCCGGCGTAAACTAACAGACGCTCGCCACACACAGCCTAGCTCCGGTAAACGCACTCATGACTCTGACGAACCACAATCACGTGAATTAGAAACTGCAGTCACCATCGAAATAGAACACGCATGCAGCATCAATGCGAAAGGAGAAAGCAACTGGGAAGAAGCCGCAGCGTGTGCAACTGCTCATCAAACAAGCGCGGACAAAGTAGACTTGAAAAATACCGCTGAAAACAGCTGGCACAGCAGCGTGCGCCACCGACTGCAATTAATACATCATGTAGATGCACCCACCAATGACAACCAGATGTGCAATGGAGCAGAAAGTTCTTGTAGCTCAGAAAAAGAACAGCATTTTCCGCTTAACAACCAGGTTGACTTCGAATATACGGAAGGGCGTAACACTGAAGAGGAAAATGCTGTCGAGCGATCGAATGCGGATGAAGAGCGACACAACATGGTGTCCGAAACAAACAACCGCCGAGTTTCGCATTCTCAGCACCCTTCAAGCCCGAATGCTATGCGTGGTTCCCCAGCTTTTGCGGTGCAAGAAACTAACCAAGACCGCTCCCCTATACGAGGACCGGACCAGCCCAAACGTCACATCAACCCAAGATCTCCTGGAATGGTGGTCGTTGACCACCGGTAGGTCACATGCAGAACGTCCGGCCACACCAGGAGTACCGCCCCTCACTAACGCGCCGCACTAGAGAGCAAGCGATCAACACCGATTCGGAGAGCGATGACAGTGAGCACGGCGGGAAAGTGCCAGAACTGCAAAGTCTCAAAGGCGAAGGGCACCGACCGGACCAATCCTGTGCTTTCTCTCGGAGCTGAACTTTCACTCGGAGGCTCCATCTCAGAATGAACCGATGAGGGAAGACTTCATGGAACGTTTCGAGTATAAGCAAGTTTATCACCGACCACTACCGCTGTGTGTACAAACAAGTGCATGTGTACCTATGCTTGTGAGACTACCCCGTACCTTCACCCTTTGTGTCGGGTTGTTTACCAATATTTGTATTTACATCAACTGTTTCAAATATGTTAACTTTTTCTTTACCTTTTGTTCACGATTGTATAAAGTTATTAATGCGTGCCCTACCAGTTTATTCATGCATGTAGTTTACTACTGCTTAATTTGTACTTGTTCAGCCACGCTGCTCCGACCAAGTTTTATTGTTACTTGTGGTGTGGCCGTTCTATTCTTGTTCTTTTCTTTTTGCTCCCACTCCTGTAAAAACCTTGTAAAGGGTTACCGTTACGTTGAAAGTAAGTACAATCAATAATGTTATGAGTAACTTCTACAATCTATTCATAATGCACAGAACTCGTCGAGCGAGATAGCGCCAGTCCAGACTTCATCCTGTACTTTCATGCAGCCGCATTGTGTCGGTTGTTATGCATCATTGTGATCAGCAGCGAAAACACCTTCATGTGCTCATTGGTAATCACTGGCTTGAGCTGCGTGCGGTGGAATGCGCTCACTATCACATTCCTTTCCCGTTTCTTTTTTTCATTATTTTATCATAGTCACGTTCTCACGTTTTTTCTGTCCATGCAGAAAAGTACCCGGTGACATGCTTTTCAGATGGGCATAGCTGTATTTTTTCTCTATGTTTAGCACTCGTTCTCTCAATAATCTACTGTATCATAGTTATGCGTATCTGAAACAACATGGACCCCCTACCTGTATCAAAGGACATAGTAAAGTTCTCGTAGGCCATGTCCATCAGGTCGAACTGAGGAATTTGCACTTCACCCTCGAAGAACACTGGATCGACGTCTTCCCATACCAGAATGGCTCTTTTAGTTGTCTCTGAATCTGCGAAAATGAGCACGTTGTGGCAGTGTGGATTGCGGAAGCTTTAACGGCAGAAAAAAAGACAGAACAAGAAAAACCAGCCATTTTATTAAATCTTGAAGTGCAACTAAGAGGTTCATGGGGATAATTTCTATGCGTGATCAGGAAAATGAATTCACGCAAGTTGTATGGGGCATCATCGTTGTATGAAACTTGGAAAATTCACTTGACGCCATGTTTCAAGGAAACCACCCTGACCAGTTTAGTGTAGTAGCTTTTAAAGGGCCCCTAAACCATTCTGATTTTAAAGAAGAATTAGTGGTTTCTGTCTCGCCTTCAATAGCCTCTTTACAGGCGCCATTCCCACTTTGCCACTTATTTCGTCACGAAACATGAGGACATAATCAGCCCTAAACGTTTAGGCAATCAAACTTTCGCAATTTTGGCTACACGGTGTTATCCCCGCTTGCACAATCATTAGTTTGTTTGTTTTGTGTCCTTTGATAAATGGCACGTACCCACTTTGGGGGATTGGCCAAGAGCGCGACGTTGAGACTGGTGAAAGTTATTTTAGGTAATGTGTGCGACTAAAACTTAAAAATAAAGGAATTAAATGGCAATAATACGTAATATAGACAATTTACACTTCAAGCAATATGCTTTTGACCTTGTATTTCAGACTACCGTATTAACCTAATGGGAACAATTTGAAAAACCTCGTGAAGTTTTACATTATTGAAATGGCGAAGAATTTTAAATACCTGAATTAAATCTATGCAATCCTTTGTCATGCTTCGGAGAAGTGTGGTACCCGCTACACACTTGCAAGGAATTCCGTGCCAATTTTCGATGCAGTAGCTGACGACGATGAAGAATTAGGCTTGAAGTGGGTATGCGCCACAGTTAATATAGTTATAAAAAAGAAGCTTTTCCAAAGAGTCGGAGTATTGGACAGCCCACTCGTTACGCAATTGGCATTGTGTGTCGCCTTGTTCTTCATTTGTCGTTCGAAAACGCGTTATTACTCCTATTGACGCGATTCCTTTCCCGATATCAAGCCTGCCTGAGGCAAGTTCGCAAACAAATTCCAAATGCCGGCATGGCTCTGGTAGAATACTATGCTGGCAGACAGTGGACCTGGGTTTGATTCCCACTATGTCCTAATGTTTTTTTTTTATTTACAATTTTTTTATTTAGTGCAATAGTGGTGTTACTGGCGGCAGCGGTGGTGGACAAGTACGGCGCTGCGCGTGGCCCGTGTTGTGATTTCATAACAGCTTTAGCCTTAAATGAAGCGACGTCAGTTGATCAGACGTGGTGGTCACGCAAGACAAGGTAGAAAGAGCGTGTGACTGCATGGCAAAGCATGCAGGTGTAAAACAATTAACATCTGATATTGTTACGGGGAATGTTACGGGGGGATGTTACGGGGGGATGTTACGGGGGATGTTACGGGGAATAAAGTATACACTGGTGAGCAAATGCGTACTGGTGAATATACTGGCGAGCTAATGCGTACGACGCTGCTGCAGTCCGAGCACGTTCCCGTTCAGCACTTCGTCGTCGTCATCCTCAGGCATCTACTTAGCCCGTGACATTACCCGCCGGCGGCAGAAGCACCGTCCCGGTGCGATCAATTCTCGATGCGTGGGTAGTATGGTTTAAGCCGTGAGACGTGCACTATATCGGTCGGGACTGAAGCTGGTACTGACGTGGTATGGAGTGGAGCTATCTCATAGGTCACGCTGGTGACCTGTGACCTTGCGTATGACGCGGTAGGGGCCAACGTAACGGGACATTAGTTTTTCGCTGAGACCAACGCGACGTGATGGTAACCACAGCAAGACGAGTGACCCCGAAGAGTACTGTACGTCGCGGTGCCGGTGATCGTAAGCACTCTTTTGGTTAAGCTGCGAGGCACATAAACGATCCCGGGCGACTTGGCGGGCGATGTCAGCTCGGGCCAGGGCATCACGAGCATAAGCAGTCGATGAGGGGGCGTCAGATTGGAGCATGGTGTCCATGGGCAAAGGCGGGTCATAACCGAACAGTAGGTAAAAAGGGGAAAATCCAGCAGTATCATGACGTGAACTGTTGTATGCGAGAGTAACGAAAGGTAAGTGGATGTCCCAATCTTTGTGATCCTTGGAGACGTACATCGCTAACATATTCGTCAAGGTACGGTTGAGGCGTTCCGTGAGGCCGTTGGTTTGCGGATGGTACGCTGTAGCTAACTTGTGGTGGGTAGAGCAGGATCGCAGGATCTCGTCGACTACTTTAGATAGAAAACAGCTGCCGCGGTCGGTGATCAACTGACGAGGAGCACCATGACGCAGAATGATGTCATGAAGAAGGAAGTCGGCTACATCAGTAGCGCAGCTGGTGGGGAGGGCGCGTGTAACGGCATACCGCGTTGCGTAGTCGGTAGCAATAGCAATCCACTTATTACCGGTGGCCGACACGGGAAAGGGTCCTAGAATATCGAGGCCGACTCGGAAAAATCGCTCATCTGGTACTTCAATGGGCTGGAGGGTACCAGCAGGTCTCAGAGCAGGTGTCTTGCGGCGCTGGCAGAGGTCGCATGCCGCAACGTACTGTCGCACAGAACGGTAGAGGCCAGGCCAAAAGAATCGGCGGCGAATGCGGTCATACGTGCGTGACACCCCTAGGTGTCCAGCGGAGGGGGCATCATGCAGCTGGGCCAAAACGTCTGAGCGAAGATGCACAGGAACAACGAGTAAAAGCTCAGAACCATCAGGGCGGGTGTTGTAGCGGTGCAAGATGTCGTTGTGAAGAACGAACAGTTGTAAGGAGGGGTCAGGGTGGGGAGAGTGCAGACCATTGATAATAGCACGCAAAGAGGGGTCACGGCGTTGTTCAGCAGCTATGTCGGTGAAGTCGGTAATTGAAAGAATGAGGTCCTCTTGCTCATCTTCCCTCGTGTCGGGGGGATCGACTGGGTAACGGGACAAGCAGTCGGCATCCTTGTGAAGTTGTCCGGATTTATAGGATACGGAAAAAGTGTACTCTTGTAAGTGCAGCGCCCAGCGACCAAGGCATCCCGTAGGGTCCTTGAGTGAGGAGAGCCAGCAAAGCGCATGGTGGTCGGTAATAACTGAGAATGGTCGGCCATACAGGTACGGTCGGAATTTCGCAATGGCCCAGACGAGAGCTAAGCACTCGCGTTCTGTGATGGAATAATTTTGTTCCGAGCGCGACAACAGTCGGCTTGCATACGCGACGACGCGGTGCATGCCTTGTTGCCGCTGCGCGAGCACTGCGCCTATGCCGTGGCCACTGGCGTCAGTACGAAGCTCCGTGGCGGCAGATGGGTCGAAGTGTGCTAGGGCTGGTGGATTGGTGAGAATGTAAACGAGCGACGAGAAGGCGTTTGCTTGCTGTTGGCCCCAGGTGAATGCGACATCCGTTTTGAGGAGGCAGGTTAGAGGACGGGCTACTTCAGCAAACTTCTTGACAAAACGACGGAAATACGAGCACAGTCCCAGAAAACTTCGGACGTCCTTGGCTGAGCGGGGTGTGGGGAAGTCGCGAAATGCTCGGACTTTCGCAGGGTCTGGTTGAACGCCATATTTGTGCACCGGTATCAATAAGAGCAGTTATAGGTAAACCATCAACGAGAATTGTAAGGAGGTTGCACCGCTGGTCGGGAGTAATCAGAGGATTTGCAGTCCGAGTCGTGTATGCAGCGTCACCTCCGGGGGCTGCACCGGCTAGTTTTCCGAGCGACGGTCGTAGGGAGACCGAGAACGGCGGGGTTGGGGCGAGCGGGACTGACGACGCACGGGCGATGGCGAGCGGCTGGTCCGACGTTCTGGATTATGCTCTGCACCTGTCTCAGCACGGTAGGACGGGGCATAAGGTGCACGTTCAGAGCGAGGCCGCCAATCGTAGAAGCTCGGTCGAGGTGATGAGGTCCAACGGCTGCGGCAATGGCGAGCGATGTGTCCTATCCGATGGCACGTGAAACATATGGACCGATCATCATGAGTGCGCCATTCAGCTGGGTTTCGTCGTGGCGCGAACGTGCGGTTTGGAGTGGCAGCCGCAACGACTGGAGCCGAGCTAGAAGTAGCAGGGGCATTTTGATGAGGTGGCGAAATGCCCATATTCGCGATCTCTTGGCGAACCACGGCCTGTATCATTGAAACAGCATCGAGGTTGTGTCCTGGCGCGCTGACGCTAGACATAGCGGGAGCCATAGCCTCGAGTTCCCGACGGACTATTCTGGTGACGTTTTCTGGCGCTGGTGGTTGGTGTAGTGTGGGCAAATCTTCGCAAGAGGACGTAGCCGCCGTGTTGGGAAGGCGGTCAAATTGGTGAACTATGCGCCTACTTTTTGCCTGTTCGAAGCGACGACATGCTTCGATGACCGACTCCACCGTCGAGCAGTCCTTGCACAGGAGAAAATTGAAGGCGTCATCCGCAATTCTTCTCAGGATGTGTCCGACTTTGTCCTCGTCGAGCATGTCCTTGTCGACCTTGCGGCACAAAGCCAACACGTCCTGGATGTACGCGATGTACGGCTCTGTGGATGTCTGGGCACGAGTCGCAAGCTCTTTCTTTGCGGCCACTTGACGTCCGATGGGCTTCCCAAATAGATAGCGCAATTTATGCTTACAGACGTCCCAGCTAGTCAACTCTTCTTGATGTGTCTTGTACCAGAGGTTTGCCGTGCCATACAAGTAGAAGATGATGTTCGCCAACATAAGCGTCGGACCCCAATGGTTGCTGCTGCTGACGCGCTCATATTAAACCAGCCAGTCATCGACGTCTATGCCACTTGTGCTGTTGAGTGGACCTGGGTCACGAGGTTGCACCACAACGATCGGCTGCGGGGCTGACGGATTTTGTTGACATTGAGTAGCCTGGTCAGTCAACGTGGTAGCTGCAATGCGCCGTCCGCTGCGAAGACTCAGCTCGTTGGGCTGTATAGCGAGTGGTACCCCGCACCTCCACCAATGATGTTACGGGGAATAAAAGTATACACTGGTGAGCAAATGCGTACTGGCGAATATACTGGCGAGCTAATGCGTACGACGCTGCTGCAGTCCGAGCACGTTCCCGTTCAGCACTTCGTCGTCGTCATCTTCAGGCATCTACTTAGCCCGTGACATTATCTCTGGTACAGGCATCAATCGAGAGCTTACTTTCTCTTGACGTCTTGTGAACAGACGGCTCGCGTCACGAATGGCGTCGAAAAGAAGGCAACCACCAGGAGAGAATGACGCGGTCATTCTTTGCATTTAGAGAAGCTGTTTAGCGGCCCTTTAAACAGTTATGCCGCAGACAACTGGTTTTCTTGTAACCTTGCGCTTCCCTTTTTCAATCAGTAAGGCAATTAAAATATGGGACAAAATATGAGAGTGCACACATAGGATATTAAAAATAAAAAGATACAAATGAAGAAGTCATTGACAGACTGCTTGTGAATAGACGTCTGTCATCATTCGAATATTCACTGAAGTTTCATTGATAGACATACTACATATTCATGAGTATCAGTTTTCGCCAGTATAAATAATCCTGAATATGCACATCAACCAAGCTACACTTTTTAGTACTGTCTTCCATCTAGTAAGAGTGTGAAGGCTTAAGAAATGCACTTGCTGCCACACAATGCATGCAAGAGATGCTTTTCAGACAGTCGTATACTCACAAGTGCTAATGGTCAGGGGGCATCTCTGGATGTCAAGTGGATAACGCCTGAATCTCATTGGACAGGCTAACTCTAGCGTGAGCCTGAAATCAGACGAGACGTAATATTATGTAGCCTGAAACAAATAACGGGAAATCAATGATGAATTCATGGAATTGCTGATTCTGCACGAAGATGAACGGTGAAGTTGTACATGTCATTTATATTCATTCCTTTTTTTAAAATGCGAAGCATTTCTTAGCGAACTTCGCTGACTTTGAGCGTATCTATCTATCTATCTATCTATCTATCTATCTATCTATCTATCTATCTATCTATCTATCTATCTATCTATCTATCTATCTATCTATCTATCTATCTATCTATCTATCTATCTATCTATCTATCTATCTATCTATCTATCTATCTATCTATCTATCTATCTATCTATCTATCTATCTATCTATCTATCTATCTATCTATCTATCTATCTATCTATCTATCTATCTAGCCGCCTACGACATTTAGCTCTCCTGGCCGTTTCGATAAGGGTATCGATACCAAACTTCGTATGGCATAACATGACTATATGACTAGCATAGTTGACTAGACTTAAAATGAAAATCATGACATGTATGTCATGAAATTCATGATTTACATTTCATGGTCTTGCTGCTCTTGCGGTGGTTTTGTTCACATGAAATGTTACAAACTGGTATGGTATGACATAATTGCATGACGAACACAAGTGACAGACGCTAACATGAAAATCAAGGCATGTGTGTCATGTAACAACATGACTACATGCCACGCTTATGATGCGTCCTCGGCCATTTCGCTTGCTTTACTTATACGAAATTTGATAATACGCGAAGTGAATCGGTGACGAAGGTATGAGACTGGGGCGAACATGATAATCATGAGATGCGTGTCATGTAACATGGCTGCATGCTATACGCTCATGATGCGCTTGCGGCCGTTTCGCTAGCTTCACTTATACGAAATTCTGTATTACATGACGCGAACGGATGATATAGGTAAATTACACATCCAAACATGATAATCACGACATGTGTGTCATGTAACAACATTAATGCATGCCACACTCATAATGCGCTTGCGGTCGTTTCGCTAGCTTCACGTATGCCAAATTTGGTACTACGTGACGTCAATGGATGACGAAGGTATGTGACTGGTGCAAACATGATAATAATGAGATGCGTGTCATGTGAGAACATGACTACATGCCACAGTCAAAGCGCCACTACAGGTCGACGTGCCACGGCGCGCGTGCGCGCCGGTGTTTGTTTCGAAGCGTCACGCCGGCGTTGCCACGCCCGGCGCCGGTACTGCCATATACTCGCAGGCGAGCGCCGCGTTGCTTTGGCGCAGGTGCGTTTCAGCGCGTCCGGCGTCTCTCCGTCTTGAAAAGACGCAGACGCAGTGCTGTCTGGGTCCATTGGATTGAATTGGATTGGATAAACTTTTATTTGGTCCTCCAAAACACAGATCAATGTGTTGCGGGCAGCTTCCACGTGGGGACTGAGATGCCAAGCTCCTCAGCCGCCTCGCGGGTCCATACGCAGTGCGTGTCTGGGCAACCGGCATGAAATGGACATGCAGCATGTCTATTTCACGCCGGTTGCCGTCGGGCCGTGCAAAAGTACATCCATAGATATTTTGTATATAGAAAATGTTTGCTCGCAACGGCTACTTATTTTGCTGAGGCCTCGGACAGAGTTACATTCGAAGTTATCAAAACAGCCGGAAATGCTTTTGTTCAAAAATGAATACATGTCAGGCGAACACGTGCAGTAACTTTATTTTTCGTGTAATTTTCATTGCCGACTTTTCAACGGAGCAATAAGTTAATAAGTCTAGGTTCTAGCACTTTCATGCTGTACAGCATGGTTCTATCAGCACTTCGAACTACTTAACTTCTAGCATGAATTAGTCATCAACATTTCAAATAATATTGTTTGCCTGGAAAGTTTACATTAAACAACAGGGCGACATCAGACGCAAGAAGCTGCCCTACATCAGATTTGAAGACGCAATGCTGAAAATAAAGAACTATTTTGTGGACTGAGGAAGTAAACAGGCGCGCTTGCTATCGCGACAGCCACTGCAAAGTCGTCGCTGGGGATGGCCGCAGACGTGCCTTATGGTAAAAAATTAAGGCGAATGAGGCGTGAGATGCTCGCGTTCCTCTATTAGAGGCTCTTTTTCTTGGAAGAACGCAAGTTTCTGCGCTATTTGTCAGGCCTTTTTTTCAACGTTGGACGTGAACAGGCACAACTTATTTTCAGACCAACATGGTGCTAAGCATTACCTTCAGGTGAGAGTTGCTGTGTTTGTCGCCTTGTCATTTTTAACTGTTTTGTCATCTTGGTATCTCATGCCCTGGTGATTCTACCACCATGTTGATGTATACTATAAAAGAGTGTTTGTACCTACTCATTTATCCATTTGTTCCTTTTCCTATAGTGTCAGTTGTGAGTGAGTTATATGCATTTGTTGTACTGTTGATTTGATTCTGCCATTTGCTCTGTGTGGAATTGTTAGTTTTTGTGTGATTGTGATGTGATGTACAATTATGAAAGTCTGAATGTATTCCTAAATAATGATTCGTCACGCATAACTCATGCACTGTAGATAGTGAGAAATTTTTTTTCTAAACAGAAGAGCGTAACATAGACTTGCATAGTATAGAATAGGAGGGTGGGGAGGGGGGGTGAAATTGGGAATGAGAGTGTTGAGAATGGAAAAGAGGAAAAATAGCATGAAGCATGGCATAGGAAAAGAAAACATAACAAAGGACAGAAAAGAGAGAACCAGAGAAAGAAGTAAACAAAGAGAGAGATGAAAAGAGGAACCCAGAAATACTAAAGAAGAGAGAAAAAAAGCAAGGAAGGTAGAACAGAGAAAGAAAAATGCATAAAAAAGAGAAAAAACATGAAAAGTAACAGACAAAAAGACATGAAAAAACGGAGATGAGAGAAAAAGAAAGAAAGATAAAGAAAAAGAAAGTCATCTAGCTCCACACATCCATCTGTCTTGGCACCACCAGGGGGAAGCTGCCTTAATTTCTTTTTCCGGTGTTGTAGTCGCTCTTTCTTTGCTATAGTATCATCGTCAGCTGCTTGTTGAACGTAATAAAGCGTGGGTTTTCATGTCCCGAAAACCAGCTCGTTGAACATAAACAGTTGTTATATTCGCACATAGAAAGACGGACATAGTAATCTGAATAAGAAACATCGGCAGATGCACAATCTGCGCATTCTGTAAGCGCCAAGACGTGACACTATCATTGTTCCACTGGTAGCATGTTTGTATTTCAATCTTAAAATATCACGGTGATAGTGATTCAAACATATATTAACAATTTAGAGTACTGCGCACTACATTGAGGAAGAGTATAGCCATCTCGATTTCCAACTTACACTAACTTGATGAATAGGTAACACAGGTACTGGATGGCTTTTGGTTTTGTGCGCCGGCTCAGCCTAGTAGCACTGGCGGGGAACAAAAGCCTGAACGAGAAGCCTTCTCAATCTCAACGACCGAAAATTCGAAATATACCTTGTTCTATGCTACACACAGCATTATAGGAGTTAGTCGTTAACTTCAAGCGCTTCCTCTGTATCTGAAAGTGGAAAAAGCTCTTGGATGCAAAGCAGCTTATGGCAGAGTTCAATCCGGTGTGTGTGACCACCCAACGCCTCCTAGAAAAAAAGTATGCCTGGAAAGTTGCTCTCTTTTCAATTGGTAGATTCCGGCCCACACGCAATCTCGGAGGCCATGGCACCCGCCGCATGCTGCGACCGTCCACCGCATGCGAATGCTCGCCACCGTACCTCTCAGTCACGGGACATTGGGGAGTTTTAGTGCTGGGTACGCATTCTCTTGGGGCGATGCGGGCTTGGGAGCGCGCGGCGTTGCGTGCCCAACCCATGCACAACCAGAATGCCTTTTAGTTGGCGCCACGGTGGCACGCACGCAAACGCAAGCCGCACGAAGTTCTCACGCGCTCGCAGAGCCATAGCGTCTTGTCGCGTAAGTATTACTTAGGTCTTTTTATTATTTAAAATGTTAAATTAAACATACATAGTGATCAGTACACTTTTTTTATTGTGTACAATAATCTGGTATACGCAAAAAAGTGAAAAATACAAGGTTACTGTAACGAAAGTGTCGATATCTTGTGACACTTTGTGCAACCGCAGTCATGAACATGTTAGCTTACGCGTAATGTTTTTGAGGTGAAAATGAATAAAAAGGTTACTCATTTGTAATATTGCCGCTGCGCAGTTTTTTCACCAGATGTACAATGCACGATGTTTCTGCAATAACAAAATTGTGGTTGTCTGTTTCACTATGGCCGCGCTAGATTGCGCCACCTATTCAGCTGGTCGGGGGCTGGCATATATTTTTTTAGTTTCTATGTTCCAGGCCATTCTAGCTTTGGAAATCTGGCTGAAAACGTGTAATCGCTATCAGTGCTCGTACTTTGGCTTATTTTAACTCGACGGCTAGAGTATCCGCAGTGCGGGTACCGTGAGCTATTGCGAAGGGGGACCGCGCGGACGCATGGCCCCATCGCCCCCGCGATCTTGCGACGCATCTGTTTGGGGTTTCGCGCATGCGCAATACCACCGCCCCAATGTCCTGCGTACGCAAGCCGCTTGGGTACCCAGCACTAAAACTCCCTATTACCGTATCTCTGTCGAGTGACATACCAGCTGCTCTGAGGCGACTGTGAGAGCATTGCCGTGTTCGCAGGGGGCAGCCGCTGGCGGCGTTCGCCTTCGTACTGGAGGGGGAAAGTAAAATAAGAAAGTAGAGCAGCATGTTCGTGCCTCACGTTTCAGGAATAATTTTTTAAGGACAACAGGCTTTCTTGCGGACCTTCGAAGCAAAAATTTCTGTCTGTCTGTCTGTCTGTCTGTCTGTCTGTCTGTCTGTCAGTCTGTTTGTCTGTCTGTCGGTCTGTCTGCCTGTCTGTCTGTCTGTCTGTCTGTCTGTCTGTCTGTCTGTCTGTCTGTCTGTCTGTCTGTCTGTCTGTCTGTCTGTCTGTCTGTCTGTCTGTCTGTCTGTGTATTTG